GTCTAATTGCCATAGCTAGGACCTCCAGTACTATGTTGAATAACAGTGGGGAGAGTGGGCATCCCTGTCTTGTTCCAAATCTCAGAGGAAAAGCTTTCAGCTTCTCGCTGTTCAGTATGATGTTAGCTGTGGGTTTTTCATATATGGCCTTTATTATGTTGAGGTACTTGCCCACTCTGCCCATTTTGTTGAGAGTTTTTATCATGAATGGATGTTGAATTTTGTTGAATGCTTTTTCAGCACCTATGGAGATGATCATGTGGTTTTTGTGTTTCTTTTTGTTGATGTGGTGGATAATGTTGATGGATTTTTGAATGTTGTACCATCTTTGCATCCCTGAGGTGAATCCCACTTGGTTATGGTGTGTGATCCTCTTGATGTATTTTTGAATTTGGTTTGTTAAAATTTTGTTGAGTATTTTTGCATCTATGTTCATCAGTGATATTGGTCTATAATTTTCTTTTTTAGTGTGGTCTGGTTTTGGTATTAGGGTGATGTTGGCTTCATAGAATGAGTTTGGGAGTATTCCCTCCTCTTCTATTTTTTGGGAAACTTTAAAGAGAATGGGAATTATGTCTTCTCTGTACATCTGGTAAAATTCCACAGTAAATCCATATAAATGGGTCTTGGTTTTTTATCCATTCTGTCACTCTGTGTCTTTTGATTGTTGTATTCAGTCCATTTACATTGAGGGTGATTATTGAAAGATATGTACTTATTGCCCTTGCAGGCTTTAGATACATGGTTACCAAAGGTTCAAGGGTAGCTTCTTTAATATCTAACTGTCTAACTTAACTCACTTATTGAGCTATTATAAACACAGTCTGATGAATCTTTCTCTCCCTTCTTATTCCTCCTCCTCCATTATTTATATGTTAGGTGTTTTATTCTGTGCACTTTTGTGTTTCCTTTGACTTCTTTTGTGTGTAGTTGATTTTTGCTTTTAGTTAGTGTTTCTGTTGGCTTCTTTCCTGTCTCCGACCCGCAGATAAAGGAGGTGATGTGATGAGATATCGAAGACTTGAGTAGGCCAGCTAGGGGACTCAAGGCATACCAGCTCAAGAGTGGTGCTGAGAGGTCACCTCTCGTATTTATTAAGTCACACAAATACATCCAAGGACAGTTGGTGATCTCATGCATACAACCATTGGCTTGTGATCTCAATGCACAACTCCCTCCGCAACATTCCCCAGCACAACACAATAGGGGAGGTAATTATGTTGCGGGAACTGGCCTTGGTTAAGATACAGCATTCTTTTAAGGCACACACTACATTCATCATCACTGATTAATAGAGAAGAACAGCTGAGTCATAATATTTTGAGCCCACAATTTGGTTGGTCTACTTTCTTTGCTGTGATTTTATTTTCTCTGGTGACATCTATTTAGCCTTAGGAGTGCTTCCATCTAGAGCAGTCCCTCTAAAATACCCTGTAGAGGTGGTTTTTGAGAGGTGGTTTTTGAGAGGCAAATTCCCTCAGCTTTTGCTTGTCTGGGAATTGTTTAATCCCTCCTTCATATTTAAATGATAATCCTGCTGGATACAGTATTCTTGGTTCAAGGCCCTTTTGTTTCATTGCATTAAATATATCATGCCATTCTCTTCTGGCCAGTAAGGTTTCTGTTGAGAAGTCTGTTGATAGTCTGATGGGTTTTCCTTTGTAGATGACCTTTTTCCTGTCTCTGGCTGTCTTTAATACTCTGTCCTTGTCTTTGATCTTTGTCATTTAATTATTATGTGTTTTGGTGTTGTCCTCCTTGGGTCCTTTGTATTGGGAGTTCTGTGGGCTTCCGTGATCTGAGAGACTATTTCCTCCCCCAGTTTAGGGAAGTTTTCTTTTATTTCTTCAAAGATACTTTCTATCCCTTCTTCTCTCTCTTCTTCTTCTGGTACCCCTATAATGCAGATATTGTTCTGTTTGGATTAGTCACACAGTTCTCTTAATATTCATTCATTCCTGGAGATCCTTTTATCTCTCTATTCGTCAGCTTCTCTGCATTCCTGTTCTCTGATTTTTATTCCATTAATGGCCTCTTGCACCTCATGCAGTCTACTCTTAAGTCCTTCCAGAGATTGTTTTATTTTTGTATTCTTCCTCCCAACTTTATCCGTTAGCTCTTCCATATTTCTCTGCAGCTCCATCAGCATGGTTATGACCTTTGTTTTGAATTCTTTTTCAGGCAGATTGGTTAAATCTCTCTCCCCAGGCTCCCTCTCGGGGGTTGTCTGGATTATTCTTGACTGGTTCAAATTCTGCTGCCTTTTCATGGTGATAGAGGTAGTCGTGGGCAGTTGGCATGTGTGTCAGCTGGGAGAACAAAGTCCCTTCTTGCTTGCTAGTCACCTTCCTCTCCTGTGAGAACAGCGACCCCTAGTGGCTTGTGCTGGGCAGCTGCGCACTGATGGGGTCTCTGGGTCTGGCCCAGGTGGCTGTGGAGGAGGCTCTGGGCGGTTGCAGTCGGTGCAGCTGCTCTCAGAATGCTCCCCTGCTATGGCGGAGCTGCACTGGAGGGGGAATGGACGGGAGGCTGTTTATCGCTGTGACAGGCTTCAGACCTGTGCTGCCTCCCAGGGGTTAGGGTGCCCGGAGTTCCCTGGGATTCCCAGCTGCTGTGCTGAGTGTTCCAGGATGCTTCTGTCCAGCTGTGAGGCCCCTGTCCCTTTAAGACTTTCAAAAAGCGCTCACTTTTCTTTGTCCCAGGGGCGCTGGCTGCAGGGACCCACTCGCAGGTTTTACTATTCCATTTTCCTAATATCCAGCACACCATGCAATGTGTGTCTGTGCTCTGGTGCGGATGGCTAGGGCTAGTATTTAGCAGTCCTGGGCTCCCTGTCCCTGCCTGCTGTGACTCTTCTCCTCCCGCCGGGAGCTGGGGTAGGGGTGTCGCTTGGGTCCCGCTGGGCTGTAGCTTGTATCTTACCCCCTTTGCAAGGTGCTGGGTTCTCCAGGTGTAGATGTAGCCTGGCTGTTGTCCTGTATCTTCTGATCTCTCTTTTAGGAATAGTTGTATTTGTTGTATTTTCAAAAATATATATGGTTTTGGGAGGAGGTTTCCGCTGCTCTACTCACGCTGCCATCTTGGTTCCTCCCTGGAGGAATGAAATCTGTTTGGTACCTTTTAGTAATTTCTGTCTGTTGGTGCTCTCTTGACATTGCTTTCCCGTTTCCCTCAGTTTTTTGTCCTTTGTTTCCTTTTGCTCTAGGGATACTTAACGTATTTGATTTAAAGTCTTTGTCTAGCAAGTCTGAAATTCCTTCTGGATGCCTGGGATATGCTGGAGCTTTTCAGAGCCTTGCGTACCTCTCATTCCTCAGCCTTTTCTGTTTAGCTCTGAGTTGGTCTATTGTTTGCCACAATTGTTATTCAGTATCTCAGGCAGCCATGAAGTTAAACAATTGCCTCTGGTTACTTTTTTACAAATGCTCCTGGGTGGGGAATACCCCTTTGGCACCTGGTAAGCTTGGAGTTTGGTCAGTGAAGATGGGAAGCAAAGAAAGTCAGATATGACCATTCTCTGGGAAAGAGGCTTTGGAAAGCCCTCCCAGGTTCCCTCTGGCAGCTGCCAGGCTTCTGCTTTTGCCATGAGTGAGTTTGTTGGTTTTCAGGGTTCACTTGGAGAGGAAGTGGGACTCGTTTTAAAAGTGCCATGAAGCTTGCTTTTCCTACTTAGATTTGGCTGTTTTCTTGAGTAAATCCTCCCCAGATTGTTGTCAGCCTTTGGTTAATTTTTGAGTTCTGGAAATTTTGATTCTGACAAATTTTCCCATTTTCTCATTGCTGTGATACAGTGGAGGAGGTTCTGTAACCTTGTAGGTCCTTAGGGGAAAAAGGTCCATGAGCCATCTGCTGTTAAAAGACAGTTTCCATGGTCACCAGCCATTTTTAACATACTTAATGGGTTTTTAAAAACTGCTTTTATTATGAAGCAATATTTGCTTGTTTAACTGATAAAATATGGAAGTGTATGCATTAGGTCACCTGCCTGCATGAGATAACATGTCCATTTTTATGTCCTTCCTGGCTTCTTCCTGTGCCACCACGACATACATGTTGGCCAAGTGGGCACAAGGCAATGCCCTTCCCTGTGGTCTGAGATGTGCCCATGTGCAAAGCATTCTTACCATATGTAATTGTTCTGCTCTTCGCTTCTTTCACTTAAATAGAGCTAGAGGACTGTTGGTTGTTATGTCCTTCAAGGCTTTTCCAGCTCATGTTTGCATACATACACGTACCATGTATGTTTGTGTTCAGTTTTTTGAGCAAAAGTGACATCATTTTCAGTTCTGCTTTTCCCCTTCCCCTTGGATCACACTTTGTGATTTCCAGCTCAGCTCTTTCCATTCATGGCTGCATATCCTTCATTCATTCGGCACGTGGCTTCCCTGGTCCTGGAGAGCAGTGTCCATGAGAGTGGGCGTGCTGTGCTTCACGCAGTGGGTTCCAGAGCTCGCTCCTGTGGTCAGGCTGCGGTGAACGGCCTTGCCTTGCTCCTTCCTCATCGATGTACCCAGTCAGGGGACACTTACATGTAAAATTTTGATGGAAACCAGCAAGTTGCCTTTCAGAAATGTTGTGCCAATTTATCTCTCACCAACGTGAAATTACTTGTTAGCCACACTCTCCCCTTCCTGGATATTGTAGTTTTAAAGATTTGTTCATCTGATTACCAGAATTCAACCACATCATTTTGAAGGGAGCTGCTTTCCTTCTCCCATGGGGGAGCAGATACATGAGGCTCGCAGGAGGGCCAAAGTCTCCTGGGGTAGGAGCCAGATGCCCACCCTCCCTGCTGGTGATGTGCACTCAGAGGGCCCAGCATTTGCTGGATCACCTGTCACCTCACAGTCACTCTGGCTGTCCTGTGAGCTGGAGTTGCCCTGTGCTGCCCAAAGCAAGTCATTGACACCACCGGGTGGTTTCTTAACAGGTGGCGACTGGGAAGTGGCAGCAGATAAGTAAATACTGTCCCCTCGATCTCTACTCAGGGTAAGAGAGCCCTGCTCCTTTGTCCCTAGAGCTGCCTTCCCTGTAGATGAGGGTGGTAGAGGTGATCTGTGAGTGGGGGCTGCTTATCCACAGACTGTCAGGGTTCTTGCCATAGGTTCCTGCAGGTTCTCTGTGGGTGGAGGGCAGGTGGGACTGGGGGTGTCCGTGAGGAGGGCTGGGGAGAATGTGGCTCCTTAAGCCATGAAGCTCAGGGACCTCATGGGGCCACTCCCAGGTACTTCCCCTGAGCCATGGGCAGGTGGCTGCAAAGACTACCTGTGATTCTGTCAATAACACTTCCCCTCTAGAAACAAACAGAGAATGCACTTTGCCCTGAAAAGCTTGTTGCAGGAGGCACAGAACAACTTGAAGATATTTAAGGTAAGAGTCGCTCTGGTTCACCACACTTTTGGGGTGGGGCTGGCAGGTGTCTGAACACGCCCACACACCTCTGGTCCTGATGGGGCTCTGTGACCTCATGGACAAGGATGTCGCAGACAGGCTGCCTTGGCAAGCCCTTTGGGTCCTTTTCCCAAGCCTCACTCCACAGGACAGCAGCCTGTAACCTGGGGTGTGTGATATCATGTCCCTGGCCACTGGGGAGTCTGGGTGGGGTCCCTTGGCGGCTGACTCTGATTCTGGGTGAGGAGGTCCCTGAAGGTTTCAGGCTGCATCTTGGTGGCCTGTGCAGTCGAGGCAGGGGGTCTGGAGGGTGTGCTTTTGCTATATTTGAAAGATCTCTGTCAGTGAGCAAGTTCTCAACAGTCCCTGGTGCCATTCCTTGGCGTCCTGGCTGCTGGAAGGGATCCACACGCGAAGCATTGCCATCTGGCATGGGCATCTTTGGCTGCCTCATTGCCACTATGGCTGGCACCCTGACTGGCTGCTGAGCCTGTGGTTCCCCAGCCTGCCTGCTGTGACCGAGTTGGGTGTGTTGGGGGAGGCATGGCAGAGAGTGTGGGGAGAGGAGAGCAGGCCTGGTCTGTGTCGGACATGTGCCCCGAGGTCCTCGTCACCCTCCTCCTCGCCTCTGCCTGGTTCAGCTCCTGTGCTGTCCCGTTGAAGTGTGACAGTGTGAGTTCGCAACAGGCTCCAGGCCTGGACTGGTGTGGACACCAAGAGGTGGAGCCTGGACAGCCTTGAGCAGTAGGTCCTGCCCGATGGGGTGGGCCTGCCCTGCACACCGGGCCCCTCAGAGAGGGGGGAGCCTGGTTTTGACTGGCTTACCCCATCTGTCTCTACTTCCTGAATCTAGAAAAGGAGGATGTGTTTCAAAGTCACTTTTTATTTTTAATTCATATAAAGACTTTAGGATTTTATATTTAAATCCTTAAGATAGATTCCGTTTTCTCTGGGGATTTATTTGGAACCTATAGTGAGGCTGGTGTTTTGTCCCAACTGAACCCTGTTTGGAAGATGGGGGGGTGAGTCTGGGTCTGCCGGCTGGGCTGCCCTGTCCCTCGAGACTGATAGGCCTGGATGCCTGCCGCTCTGTCGCCACCAGCATGAGAAAAGGCCGGGAGCAGTCTGGAGGTTGAAAAGTGGCTTGGTGATGCCTGTGCAGGCGGTGCTCTGGGGAGTGTTACTCACTGGCCGGCAGGCCTGGTCTGAGGCTCTGGTAGGCTGAGACTTTCTGGGTCACATTGTGCCACTTTGTGTTGATGGATCCTTCTTATCTGCCTAGTGGTGCTCACGAGACACATGGGTGGCTGTGGAGCTTGGGATGATGGCTCTCCAACTGAATGTACCAGACCTTTGAATGCCTGTCTACCTGGACTTCAGACGCTGGGAGAGGAGGCCTCCCTCTGTCCAGCGCTCACTCCCACTAGTGGAGCCCTGGCCCCACCTCCTGGCTGCAGCCTGAGGTGCTGGCCTTGCTGGGCACTTGGTCTTGGCCTGCTTTCCCCTGGGGGTCCTGCTTCCCCTTGCTGGGCACACCCCAAAACTGTGAGGCTCCCTCAGAGTCAGTGTCCCCTTGTGGCTTCTCCTGCACACCCACGTTTGTGAGCTCTGCCAGGGATCCCAGGGCCTCCCTAAGGAGGGGCACCCTGTCCCCCTCTTGTTGTAATGCACTGACTCCCATCTGCCTCTGGGGGCAGAGCAGGACTGTCTTGGGTATTACCTATTCTGCATGACAGCTGCCATGTCACCTCCTGTGGCCTGGCTCCTGCTCCCTCTGGAGGCTGTGTTCACACTGAAGGCCTGCGGGGGCCAGGAGCTGCTCCTGGATGGTGCCCCCATGGCCATTGGCAGGAGGCCTTAGTTGCTGGCCACTTGGGCTCCCTCAGGCTGCTCGACATGGCCACAGGACCTTTTAACTTAACCTTGCAGGATGTGCTGTTGCTCCGCTCTGTTCTGTTGGTCACGCAGACCAGACCTCTGGTGTGGAGGGAACTATGCTGTGTGTCAAGGCATGTGGGTCCTTGAGGGCCATCCCTCCCCTGGGGTCAGCTGCTGCCCAGGGCTGTGGGTCTCCCCCAGACACACATACCCTGGTAAAAATCAGAGCTGTGCCCACTGGGTGCTGCTGCCTGCGGCCCTGGGAACATGGGTGCTGGAGGGTGTTTCTTTGCTGGACTTGGGTTTAGGAGGCACTAGTGATGCTGACGGCCTCACCTCTGCTGGCAGGAGCCTGCCTCCGAGGACAGAAGCCCTCTTGGTGTTGGCAGCCGGCAGAGCTCCACACTGGCCGAGGTTGCCTGCTCAGGGTCAGACTGATGTGGTTGGTCCCTCAGCACCATGTCCTGCGGCCCCTTGAGGAATGGGCGGGGTGCTGGGGAGCCTTGGGCCAGTTTGCCTCGAGCCTAATGTGCTGTGTTCTGCACTGAAGGTTTCTGAGAACTTTCCTTCTTTTCACATTTCCATGGGCTTTGTCTCTTGGTGGGTGGCATCGGGTGTGGGGATGGCTTCCCTGGAGAGTGCAGCAGGCACGGTGAGCATCAGGGCCCCTCTGCCTGCCTGTGGGTGAGCAGCGGGCTTCCAGCAGCCTGTTGGAGGTGACTTCCCTGTCTCTCTCCTGCCTGAAGAACGGTGAGCTGATTTATGGCTGCAGAGACGTGTGCAGCCCTGTGGCTGATTGGAGCGAGCTGGCCCACCATCTGAAGCCGTTCTTCTTCCCATCCAACGGCCTGGCCAGCGGGCCCCACTGTACACGGGCTGTGATCCGGGAGCTGGTGCACGTCATCACGCGGGTGCTGCTGAGTGGCTCGGACAGGGGCAGGGCAGGTGTGCTGCGGCGGGGGCCCAGCCCCCGGGGCCCGCACGTCTGTGAGGCCAGCCCTTTCAGCAGAAGCCTGCGGTGCCAAGGTAGGCCAGGCTGGGCTGGGGTGGTAGAGCCTATGGCATGTCTTGCCAGACCTCGCAGAGCTTCTGTGGGAGCAGCCTGGGTGCCTCGGGGCTCCCAGTGCTGGGCCTGCTGCCATCAGCCTTGGGAGGGGAGATCCCTTCACGCCTTTTTATCTGGGTTTCTAAACCATGGCTCATGGTTGGGCATGGGGCTTTCCCCCAGCAGTGCCTAGGGTCTGTGTGACCTCCGTGGGGTGCTGTGTGCTCCCACCATTGGTCCCTTCTCCTCATTGCCACTCTGGGGGTTGTCCTTGGCCTGGTCCTTAGGTGGAGAACTGAAACCTAGAACGTTGGGAGTCCTCCAGTGTGAGGCCCCTGGGGCCAGGGTGGCCCAACAGATGGCAGTTTGCAGACAGGCATGACCACAGGTCTGTGGCTACATCCTCAGACCTGCTGGAGGGCCGGCTGTGACTTGGTGGCTGTCATGCTTGGAAGTGGCCCAATGTCTGGTTTGGGCTTTTTCTGTGACTGCTCACGGGTCACGTGGTTGCCCACTGGCAGCCCCACCACACACTCAGGTCTGTGGCATATGGAACCACATCTATTAACTTATTTTGGGGGTTGACTAGGGAGGCTCAGTCTATTCTGGGTTTGGGCTGCAGACGCCTGTGGTCTCTGAGGACCCCCTGCAGATGGCCATGGGGATATGATGAAGGATAGGGAAGACAGCCCTGCTCCTGTGTTTTGTAGGCCTGTTGTTTATGCTGCGTGATTGTCCAGGTGCAATTCTCCCTAGACCTGTCCCCCAGGCCCGGTTTTTCTTAGCACAAATGAATCCTGTGGGTTTTTCTCTGGTGCCAGAGTGAAACTGATCATTTCAGAAAGTTCTGGTGAGGTTATGCCCACACTGGGTGCCTCTTCCCGTAAGCAGAGGCAGCCTGCTGGGGGGACATGATGGACACTGGTTACTGTATTGTGGGTCTTCCAGACCTTCCCAGGCATGCATGCATGACCCGTGGGACCTCCAGTCTTAATACAAGATCACGATCCACTTACCATTCTGTAACCTACTGTTTTTGCCTAGTTAGCACAAATCTGTATCTACATCAGCAAATGTGTTTTTGGACTTTTATTGGCCACGAGGTAGGTATCCACTGTGTGGGTGGCCTCTAGTTTAACAAATCCCCTCCAGCTGGGCCTGTGCACTTTTACTCTTTCTGTAGTGGCCACACATACCCTGCCAGCAGTGGGAGGTCAGTGGTCAGAGCACACGACTGCACATGGCCATGGCTGCCCCTCAAAGGGTGGGAGTGGGCTGGGACCCCTATCTCCCCAGCCCCCCAGCCCTGGTCACAGCAGGAACCTGAGAATGGGTGTGTACAGAGTCTCTGCAAGAGCAGCTCCATGCTGTGCTGCCCACCCTGGTGTGGGGTGCCTCTGGGCTCCACAGGCACGGCCTCACAGACTTGGGAGGCGTTGGCATGGTCGTTTAGGTTTTGTGCCTTGTTATTAAAACAGGGCCATCTCTTCACTTGGTCTGGCCTGGTGGGATGGAAGCTGCAGGAGCAAAAGGCACAGAGTGACTCGCAGGCCCAACCGCTCCGTGAGGCGGGTGTGGCCTACGCACCTTCTTCATCCTGACAGTAACCTCTCATTCTCCCTGATGTTCTTGGTAGGAAAAATCCCCCCGGAGCGCTCGGGGTTACCGAAGGACTGTCTTCTGTACAAAACCCTCCAGGTGCAGATGTTGGACATGCTGGACATCGAGGGCCTCTACCCTCTGTACCGGCGGGTGGAGCGGTACCTGGAGGAATTTCCGGAGGAGAGGTGAGGCCTGGCATGGTGTCCTGCCCCCGACGCCAGCCTGGTGGGGTTCAGAGCCTCTCCGCCCTGAGTTCACTTCTGATTTCTAGAGAAGCAAGGCAGGCTGCTCTGGAAACCTGAGCCCCGTCTTGCGTTGGCTGAGCCTGCAGGGGGCAGTGCTGCTCCGTGCTGTCGGCCTCCCTGGCCCTGCCCTTCCTCCGTCCCTGGCCCTGACCCCAAATGGGAGACATGCTGCCAGGGGTCAGGTCTTGCAAGTCTTATTTTAACCCTGACACCCAGGGCCGAGTTTAGTGTCAGGAGGAGGTGGGCCCCTCAGATGTAGTGTGGGTGCTAGCATTTAAAGAATGGGCTCCAGGCAGCTCTGCCATCCTGTCTTCTGTGCTCCCCCTCCAGAAAAGCGCTGCAAATAGACGGGCCGTATGATGGAGCATTCTACCAGAAGCTACTTGACCTTTCCACCGAGGATGATGGGACCCTGGCCTTTGCGCTGACGAAGGTGGGGCACCCTTCTGGGACCTGCCGCAGCCCAAAACTCTGAGCTGGACTCTGGCCTTTCTCAAATGGTGTCATCTCACTGCTTACCCTGAGCTACAGCAGAGAAGGTGCTCCGTGATGGGCTGGGCAGGTGTGGCTACATCACCTGAGCTCTTAGGGATGACTCTCTCTAATGCCAGAGTCCAGGGCTGCTCTTCCACACATCCCTCTCCCACAATGGCTGTGTGTTTCCTTCCCCAAAACTCAGGCTGAGGGTCAGCCTGGGAGATTCTCAGGGCAGGGCCTCTTCCTGTTCCTCTGGTTCTGTGAGCTTGGACAGGAGAAAATGCACATCTTTGTTTCCATTCTTCTAATTGAAATTAGTGGCCCATCTGTCACAGACATGGTCAGCAGGACCTCCACTTGGCTTCTGGGAGAGAGCAGGTCTTTTCATGACACACAGTCATGACCGAGCCACTCACGAAGCCTGCATATCCATCACCCCTGGGGTTTTATTACATAGTACTACTAATACTATGTAATTTGTTTTTAAAAATATTTTGGTATTTGACAGGGTCACTTTGTTCTTGAGTTTATGCATCTAAAAAAATCATCCCCAGGCTTCACTGGGCTGTCAAAGGTTTGCTGGCTGCTGATGCAGCGCAAGGGACCCTGTAGAGAGAGTACAGGGATGAAAGGCAGGACACCGAGCCGTGGGCCCACCTGCTGGGCCCTCGTGTCTGGGTCCCGGTGGCCAGATCCTCACAATCATCTCTGGCCCAGGTCGGCTGCTCACCTCCTGCAGCTGCTGGGTTTTCTGGGACCAGTACCCTGAGGGCCCCTCTGAAGTGGTCTGTGGGGAAACGGTGCAGGTGGTGAGAGAAGCTGCGTGCAGTCTCTGACCTGTGCCGTGTGCCCTGGGGGGGGCATTAGTTCAGGGGTAAGTCACAGCAGTGCTTCTTCAATAGAAGAAACATGGGACTTTACTCCTTTTATGTATATTTCTATATTTTTCAAAATTTCTAAGGAAGGCTGGATTAATTTTTTTTTTTTTTTTGGTCTCATTCATGTGTAGCGTGATTTTGTTAGAGACTGAAGCAATCATTACACGGTTCCAGAATGACTAAGATAAGTTTGCTGGGACAACATGGAGACTCTCTGTGTGGTGGGTAGGCTGTGCAGTGGCTTCCTACACACCCACAGCCAGCATCGCACAGAGACGGGCAGGGAGGCCTGATCAGATGCGCCTGGGACTGTCTGCAGCCCCGTCTTGTCAGCTGGAAGCCACACATGCCTGTGTCTGACAACAGGTGTCCTGGAATAGGCTCCATGGGCCAGACACTCCGGGGAGCTTGGGGATGACAGCCAGCCCCAGGTCACAGCCCAGGGTGTGTGGGATGCCCTCACAGGACCAAGATGAGTGGTTGCTGTGGGCTCTGGAGGAGGTGAAGAGGATGTGAAGGGAAGGATGGAAGAGGAAGGAGGGAAGAGGAGGTGAAGAGGATCACATGTGTGTGATCCTCTGCGTGCCATTTGAGGGATGTCCACATTTTATGTGGAATGTGCCAGCCCACACTTAAGGTGGTGTGCCTTGAGGTTTCCTGGTTGGAATGCTGGGCTTACCTCTTTGTTGTAGGGAGTCAGGTTCTAGTAGTTGGGGTCTGAGGAGGGTGGTGAAGTGAAGCTGGGAAGCAGGCCAAGAATGAGCCAAGGATTACTGGAGTTCCTTTGTGAATAGTATTTATCTTATTGGGCCTGTGCATCTGATGACAGGAGGGGATGTGTCTGTTTTGAGCTGGTGTCTGCAGCCCTGAGTGGCTCTGGCTTCTGCCATCCAGGCTGTGCAGCAGGGTGAGTTGGCACACCCTCCCACAGAGGTCTGCCGGCACCTGCTTCCTCTGCCGTCACAACCCCAGACAGCCACCAGCAGCAGATGGGTGCACTGTGTCCCAGAGAAACATGTACAAAGACTGGGCAGGCTGGACCCAGCCCCACCAGCAGTTTGCTGACTTCTGTTCACTTCTGCGCGTGAGGTTTTACACCCCATGTTTTGCTCTGTTGGTTCAGTGAACACTGGTTCAGTTTGAACGGGTGTATTTAAAGTCTGACCTAATATCCTGCCCAGTTTCTCTCCCAGCTTACTTGCAGTTATGGTCTGGCATGTGGTCTGGCATATGGTACAGCTTATTAGATTTGGGTTTCCTTTTTGGCTATTATGAATAATGCTGCTATAAATATTTGTGTACAGATTTTTGTGTGGACATGTTTTCTTGGGTAATACCTAGGAGTGGAATTGCTGGGTCACATGGTAACTGATGTTTAACTTTTGGAGGAACTGCTGCCAGACTATTTTCCAAAGTGTCTGCATCATTTCATGTTTGATGTCTCCTTGTCTTCCACAGCACTTACTTGTCCTTGTGGCTTTGGCCATCCTAGTGGGTGTGAAGTGTTATCTCATTGACTTTGATTTGCATTCCCCTAATGACTGAAAGCATTTTTCATGTGCTTGTTGCCCACTTGTATTCCTTCTTTAGAGAAATATCTATTCATATCCTTTGACCACTTTTTAATTATCCTACTTGTCTTGTTGAATTCTAAGCATTGTGTATGTTGTGGACAGTGGGGCCCCTAAGAGGTGTATGACTTGCAGATATTTTCTTCCATTTTTTTCAGATGTCTTTTTCACTTTTTGATAATGTCCTTTGATGCAAAAATGTTTTTAAGTTTTGTGAGTTCCAATTTTTCTTTTTGTTGTTGTTCATGTTTTTGGTGTCATATCTAAGAATTCAAAGCTAAATCCAAGGTCATAAATATTTTCTCGTTCTAAGAATTTAAAAATTTCAGCTTTTACATTTAATTCTTTGATCCATTTTCAGTTAATTACTGCATGGTATTTGAGGTAGGGGCTCAACTTCCTTCTTTGCCTGTGGAAACCCATTTGTTGAGGAAGGTACTTTTCCCCATTGACTGGTCTTGGCGCCCTGGTGGAAGGTCAATTGGCCATCACTGTGTGGGCTTATTTCTGGGTGCTTAGTTGTGTTCCACTGATCTGTGTGTCTGTACTTGTGCTCTACCATGTCTTGGTTACTCTTGTTTTGTTTTTTCAGCAAGTTTTGAAATTGGAAAGTCTAAGTTCTCCAACTTTGTTGCTCTTTTTCAAGATTGTTTTGGCTGTTGGGAGCCCCTTGTAATTCCATATGAATTTTAGAATCAGCTTGCCAGTTCCTGCAAAGGCAGCTGGGATTGTGATGAGGATTATGGTGAATTTGTAGATCACTTTGGGTAGTTTGGCCATCTTAACAGTTGTTAAGTTTTTCAATTTATTAACTTGGGGTACTTTTCCATTTATTTAGATCTTTGTTCTTCTTTCAGTAGCCCTGTACAGTGTTCAGAGAATATATTTTCTACTTTAAGTTTATTCTTGAATGTTTTGTACTTTTTGATGCTGTTATAAATGGAGTTTTCTTCCATTTTCAGATTTATTATTGCAAGTATATAGAAATACAGTTGGGTTTTGTATATTGATCTTGTATTCTGTAACCTTGCTGAATTTATTAGTTCTAATAGATTTTAGTAGATTCCTTAGGATTCTCTCTATCTAAGATCATTATTGGATAGACATAGTTTTACTTCTTCCTTTAAAAACTTGAACATCTTTTATGTCTTCTCCTTGCATAATATCCCTCGCTAGACATTAGTACAATGTTGAATAGGAGTGGCAAGAGCAGACATCCCTGCCTTTTGTTCCTGGTCTTACTGGGACACCAGTCTTTCATTGTTATATATATCATGTTAGCTGCATTTTTTTTTTACACATTTATGGCTTAATTTAATCTCACAACAACATTATGCATGAGGTATTTTTTTTTATATCATTGATCTACAATTACATGAAGAACATTATGTTTACTAGGCTCCCCCCTTCACCAAGTCCCCCCCACCCCACCCCATTACAGTCACTGTCCATCAGCGTAGTAAGATGCTGTAGAATCACTACTTATCTTCTCTGTGTTGCACAGCCCGCCCTGTGCCCCCTCCACATGTTAGCTGCATTTTTTGTAGACATCTTTTGTCAGGTTGAAAAAGCTCCCTTCTCTTCCTAATTTGTTGAGTGTTTCTTTCATTGAAGTATATTTTTTGTTTTTTGTTTTTACCTATCTTCCAGTGTAGTTTCTTCAGCTTTTTCTAATCTGATGTTAAATTTATCTGTTGAACTCATAATACTGATTTTGTACTTTTTAGTTCTAGGATGAGTCTCCAGTCTCCTCAATTTTATCATCTGTTCTTTCAGCAGAGCAGGTTGTTGTGTCTGGTGCATCCAGCAGCCAGAGCCCAATTGCTTCTCTTTCTTCTGTTGTAAATTGTTGGGTTTTTGCTGGTTTTCATTCATATCATCTTGTTTTGTGCCTGGATTTTTTCTGCTATGTGTCAGAAATTGTTATTTGTTCAGTTCTTTTGGAAATAATAGGATGATACCTTCTTCTAGAGAGAATGTTAGGTTTGCTTCTGCCAGGGCCTGGGACACACAAGGATGCTGGGGTCATCTTAATCTGGATTTGGTGACAACTCTTTGAAGCAGAGCTGCAGCTTCTCACTCGGCCTTGAGGTACATCGCTTTGGGTAGTAACTTGAAGAGGGGGCACATCCAGGTTATTTGTCCCCATGACTCTGGAGGTTGGTTCAGGTGCCTTTCAGCTGACCTTCCAGAATTGTCATGACCCTTCCTGGGCAGAAAAGACCCAAGCATCTTTGTCTTCCCCCTGCTCTTATTAGCTTTGCCTTTAAAACACATTTTCAATATTTTGTGCAGGTTTTTCTCATTGTCCTCAGCAGCTGGCCCCAGTGACACAGCCCAGCATTACTCATAAAGGATGTGCAGCCTTCCTTCCTATGATAGAGACAGATATTTAGAGCTGTGCCCCTCTAGTAAATGAAAAATAGTTGTTATAATTTGCATTTCCTTTAAAGTTGAGCATCTTTTCTTATATTTATTGGCTGTTTTTCTCTGTCAGTTCATTTGGTCCATATTATTTCCATAGTGACTGAGAGCGCTTCCTGCGTTCTTGATGCTGGTCACCTGCTGTGGCTGCAGGTACTTGTCCCTTCTCATTTGAGTTGTGACTATCACATAAAAGCTTTTAATTTTTAGGTGTCCAAATCTATCAGTCTTTTATGGATTCTGAGTTTTGTGTCTTGCAGATTAGGACATAAATATTTTATACTTTTTTATTACTTAATCTCTTTAATGTTTGAGTATTTTGTGAAATACCTGATTTCTTAGCTAAATGGATCGAGTGTGAGGAGGGAGCTGCTGGTCCCTCCTTGGCAGCCCTGAGGCGACTGTGGGTTCCTGGCCCTGTCCTGGCTGAGGGTGTTTTCTCAGGCAGCCCTCTTCACGTGCTGTGGGGAGGGATGGCCAGGGAGGGGTGAGAGGCTGTGACCACAGTACTGAGGCCCACTTCCTTTTCTGTGGCAGTAAGAGCTAGTTAGTCCAGGAGATTCGGTGAGGAAAGGGGAGAGTGCCCCAAGTTCCACACAGAGGGGACCATCTTTCTGGATCTCTCCCTGTGTGTGCCACTCGTGAGTTGGACACCGTGTGCTGAGTCGGCGGCCTCAGTGGGTGTTGCTCCAGGCCTTTGTATACTGGTCTGCATGCACTTGCAGCAGTGTCTGGTTTGCTTGTCCACAAATGGGGCTGTCTGCCGTGCCATGCGTGGGGTTGCCCATGGCATCTGTGTCAGTGCTCAGTGTGAGGCAGAGGGACCTTGGGTTGCCCTAGGCAGGGCCTCGGTGCACGTCTGTGCCACCGCTGGAGGTGTGGGGTGATGCTGATGTGGCAGGGCTGCCCTGGGGCTGAGGCAGAGCCTCTCCCAAGGCAGGCTTGGCGTGGGCTTCAGTGGAGAGAGGCTGAGGCCCGGGGCTCAGCGCTGGGTCTGCAGGCTGCTCGCCGTGACAGGGCAGAGGTAGGGCTGGTCTCTGAGGAGCCCACTGGCTTGCGGCCTCCTCATGCCCCCCTCCTTCCAGAGCTCCGGCTCCAAGCAGCATGTGGGGCGGTGCTGAGCCGACCTCCCTCCCACAGGTGCAGCAGTACCGGGTGTCCATGACTGCCAAGGACTGCTCCATCATGATTGCGCTGTCACCGTGTCTGCAGGACGCAAGGTGAGGTGCCTGTGCTGCATAAAGTCTCCCTGGTCTAGCAGGAGGTATGGGTTCATGACCCCCTCACCCTGCCAATATTTATGGGGGCCCTGCAGGGTCACATTCCCTAGCAGGCCCACCTCCAGGTCCCGTGATATCAGGACCTGTTTCTGGTAGCTCATAAATCAGTCAGAAAGACATTAACAGAATAATTCAAAAGGATTGTTCTGTTAAATTGAAGATTACTCTTATCTCCTAAGGAAGTACCCCAAGGATTAAGAAGCAGCTTGGTCCCTTTCCCTCAAGGAAAGCCCCAGGCTCTCCCATGCCCTCTGCCAGGTCCTGAGGGCCTCCCAACCATCACCTGCCCTTCTCCATTTGCAGCATGTCTCCTTGGATGTTGCTGTTCACGAGGCCCCAGCTGCCTCTCTCTAGGAGTTCAGGAATACTGATACTCTCAGGAACTGAGTGGTATCCTCAGCAGGCCTCAGGGGTGCCAAACCCCACACATAGCCCTTGTGGAATATTCCTCATCTTCTGATGTGTTCCTGGGTCATGATGACCTTGTCACTGGCTGCCAGCCTCCTGTTTTTCTGATGCTTTTTCTGGATGTTCTCTGGAACATTCCCAAAAGTTCTGCAAGCACAGAACTCTCCATTTCCTTACAGGAAACACAGGGCATAACAAGCACAGAAAAGGTGGTCTTTTTGGCTGAGGACTTCTGTGGTCCCCTAGGAAAGTGCCCCAGTGCTCAGTGAGGCATCATCACCTGCTGGACCTGATGGGAGAAGCCATGGGTCCTTCCCCCTTCTGAAGCAGGTACAGGCAGAATATAGGACTGGGGCAGTGCTGATATACTGGGACAGGCATGATGACACATGGCCAGGAACTTGTGATGCAGGGGGCACCTCCAGGGCAGAGAAGCATCTTAGAGCTGGGCCCTGGGCCTCGGAACTGGAGGTCAGCAGGGGTGGCCTTGGGAATCTGTTGATTCCTTGTTCTCGTTGTCTCCTTGGATGCTGGCTCTGATAGAAGAAATCGAGGTATCCCTTAAAATGTCACCCTGACAGGTGTTGGAGTCACAGGCTGTCCCAGCCCAGCAGTGAGGAGCTTGGGCTTCAGGCCCCGGGCCCCAAGAGTGGGACTCGGAATCAAAACCGTAATAGTAACTGTTCTCTTCTGTTCAGAGGGCGTAGCTAAGACCCTGGCTGCTGAACTAGGGGCTCATTTCCTACAAACAGCAGGTCAGACCAGAACTGAGTGAGAATCTAGGCCTGGATCAGCTCCATCAAATGGAACATGGTCATCAGCTTCCCTCTCCCAGATGGAGCTTTTGGAGTTGTTTTGTTTTGTTTTTAATGATTCTAAATCTAGAAGAGTAGTGAGCACAGGGAAACCAGGTGTTCCCAGTACTGCCTTCGGACTGGGCTGAGCTCATGTGTCTGAAACCAGTCACTGGGTTACATACTAAGCACCTGAGAGCTAAGCAGTCTCATTGCAAGGTTAGTGTTATTCTGAAAGTGTCTTAGTTACAACTAATTGTCCATATTTTGTTATAAGCATGGGACTATTCCGATAGAAAACTCACAAAACTAAGCCCAAAGAAACAAAATCAAAACACTGAAGCTGGTTTGAGAGTAAAACAGGAAACCAGGCCCTTCCCAATGGGAGAATCCCATCCTGTATATCCAGCTATCTCCTGCTCTCCCTTTTTTTCTGGTTTTCTGCCCCATGGCTCACGATAAAGTGACTTCTTCAGTACCATGCACCCTGTGGAGGCACCTTATGGAAGCCTCTGCCTGGCATGGTGGGCAGGGTGCCCTGTGGAACTGGGCACTAGTACGGGCTGCCTCTTGAACCTGCTCTTTACTTCCAGCCATGAGCCAAGGCCGGTTGTGCCATCATCTGGGTCCCGGCTCGCCTTCTCTGTGTCAGTGCTTGACCTCGACCTTAAGCCCTACGACAGCATCCCTCACCAGTACAAATTGGATGGCAAGATCACCAGCCACTACTCCAAGGCCATGCGTGCTGAGGGTGCCATGCTGTCGGCGCGGTTCCAGGAAGGCGAGGATTGCACATTGGTTCTCCACAAGGTCTAGCTCCTCCCATGGTGTCCTGTGAGTTCAGTGGTGGCCTGTTTTGGCTGCAGGCTGTGTGTTTCTGCTTCAGCCCTGTTCAGTGGCCACCTTGGGTGCAGTTGGAGCCATGGGGATGCCTTCTGGCCATGTGATCCTGCTGCCCCCCTCCCCAGCTCTCAGCCAGTCTCTGATGCAGAAAGCTTCATTAGGAGACCAAGGTCTGGATCTCTGCCACCAGATGCTAACATAGGACACATGAATTGTTGCATTTGGACAGTTAAAATATGGAGCCCCCATGAGGTGCCTGGCTGCCCTCAGCCATCAGCACTTGCTGTCACGGGGTGGCTCAGGGCGGCAGTGCTGGGTCCCTGCTTAGTGCCATCTGCCCACTCAGGTGTGCCAGGAGCGCAGGAGCTGGTTGGGTGGACACCATTCAAGCAAGCACTGTTTTTTTGTCTTCTTGCTGAATGCTTTTCTCTCTGACTCAACAGAAGACCGGGGGTTCTTTCCAGCCAGGAACTGCTGCTGTGGAGGCCGGAGGCAGGGCCGCTCCTCTGGGATGCTGGCCCGGGGTGCCACATCCTACTCTGTGGAGCTGGCACCCACTCTCCCTGCCTCACAACCCTGTCCCCCTTTGAGCTGAGTGTTGTCCACGGCTTCAAGTGGTGCTGGGTGCCTCCCATGGCTGTCTGAGGTTCTGCTCCAGCAGGTGGGCGGCTCTTGGCTGGCACCAAGAGGGTGCTTGGGGGACCACCATGTATCCCGGCTGCTATGGAAATTGTTGGGAATTTTGGCTTCAGTTTTTTATTCTATGGTGGATTGTACAGATTATTTATATCATTATTTTGAGGGACTGATGAAGGCTTATTGTAATATAGTATTAGTGAAACAAAACTGTATGAAAATGCTATGTGAAAAATAATATTTTGCTGATTGTAAATTTTTGTGGGGAATTTTGTGATAACTTGAGAATTACACTTCTTTGAATCAAACCAGTTCTTCTGAAATTCATCGTCCATCCTGTCCTGGCCCTTAATTCTTACTTCTATGTGCAGAGATTCAGAGAGAGATGCTGGTGGCGAGGAGTCTGAGGTACCTGGTGGTCAATGGTTTTGGCCTGAGGTCAGTCCTGGTTGTTGGTCTGGGGTGAGAATAGGCTGCCTGGCACTGCAGTGCAGAGGACCCTGCCCCCACTGTGTGCATGGCTTCGGAACCCTGGCCCCTTGAAGAGGTGAGCTGGGCAGCCCCCCGGGCCGTCCTGGCTGGCTGGATCAGCCAGCATGCCTTGGTGGGAAGAGGTCACAGGTGACCCTGCCAGGGGGTCATGGCTGGGCCCCTCCCTGCTATATGTTCACTTCACTGAAACCTTGTTCTCCCTGAGTCTGAGGTAAGGGAAGCCCCGAGACTGGGGACTTGAACAAAAACTGTTTCTTCTGTGTGGAGGAGCCTTGGGAGCTGGGGCCCTGTGGGAAGGGGCTTACTGCATTTTTAAAGCTAAGGGTTTGGTGGAGGCCAAGCAGAGCGGATGTCAGGATTGCTGAGAAGCCCATGGGTACCAGCAGGAGCTCCTTTTCAGAGCAGGGGGCAAGGAGAGTAGCCATCACCTGGGGTGTCTGAGGAATGGTTAAGAAATGGGGACCCACTGGCAAGGGGCTTCCCAGAGTGGGGTGGCGAGGGGAGGGCTGGCCTCTGAGCCAGCTCTGCTGCCATTGCCTCAGGCTCGGTGTGGGGCAGGCACAGCAATCCACATCCAAAGATGGATACCCACCCCTGTACTAGCTCAAAGGTTAAGCTTATTTTTAAAGTCAGTGTGTGTCAAATGGGTTGGCATTTTGTACTTAAATAGCTGTTTATTTCCAGTGCCCTGGCAGTTGATGTGCAGTGCACTGTAACCGCTCACTGTGTGGGGACCAGCCTTCCTCCTCTGCGCAGAGTGACTATCAGGCTCTCCAGAGCGGCCTCGATGCCCAGCGCGCCCAGTAGGGCTCGGAAGCTGACAGGAGCGGCTTCTATGATTCCGTTCTGGTCCAGCTCCAGGGCTGCAGAGGAGACAGACGGGATGAGAAACTTCCCCAAGACCCTCCCCACACCCTCCAGAGCCCTGAGGACCCTCCCCGTGCCCATTGGTACCCTGAGGGAAGGCCGGAGGGCTGTGTTGCAACTGTGAGCAAAGCTGGAGGCAGACAACGCCCCCATCCATCCAGCCCAGGAGGATCTCAGGGGAGCAGCACCCCTTGCATGTGCTTTTTGAGTGATTATTGGTAAAAATATTTTTAAAACCAATGTAAAAAGTGTGTACATCAACGAGATTTTTAATTCTTGCCACATACACCCAGATGATGCAGGTGGGTGCTGCTGACCCACCGCATGCCCCCACGCCTGGCCTACCTCGTTGTGGTACCCTGGGGAGCAGGTCCAACTTCGGCACGGCCCTCCCCTCGTCATCCACTTGTATCCTCCAGACAATCACTAATTCAAATCTGAAAGAAGGGAGATGCTGCTATGTGCCTGTGGAAATCTGGTCAGAAGGACAGGTACACAGCCCCTGTCTGTGGATGAGGATGCCTGCCCACTGGGCCTGCTGCCCATAGTGTGGCCAGTTCACCACGAGACACTTGGCATCACCGACAAACAGGAAACAGGGCTCGGTGCAGTAGGTGGATGGGTACCTGCTAGGGGAGCCCAGTAGGTAGGGCGGCAGGGGCAGAGCAGCTGGTGGGGCCTCTGAGAAGACTCGCAGTCACAGAGCAGTGCCTGCCCCTGAGCTGGGACCTCACTTTTGGGCATGTGCCTGCCCAGGGAAGCTGCTGCATGGTATGTGGGGTGTGAGCAAGAGTGACAGTGGGAAAGGGCCAGCAACCCAAATGCTGGAGACCTGAGGAGGCTGTGTGTACGTTTCCTGGGGGAGTGCAGCTTGTGAAGGCCACGCACCACTGCAGGTAGACTTAGGAATCATGCTGGGTGACAGAGGACCGAACCTGCCTAATAACAACACTGTTTTGAAGCTTGAAAATGAAACCACATATCTTCAAGGGCAACCGGGGATGGCCTCACTGCACGCGGTGCTGAGATGGTGAGGCCCCACCCTATTCACTGGCTGCCCCAACCTTTCTTGAAGGAGGCCATCAGGATGGCTCTGCCTCTTCCCCCTGCCTCCGGCCCCCTGGAAGGCTATAGGGACCCAGTGTGCTGGCTCCTCCTGCAGCACGGATGGGCCACCTCTCCTCTCCACGGGCTGTCTCTGATGGGACTGCCAGACATTTCCAGGCACCAGCTGGGTAAGCTTACATTTGTCCTCTGCTATTTATAGCCTTGTCTTTAACGGGTGTGGCAGCCTGGGTGCTGGGGAAGGGCCTGGTCAGCAGGGACAGCCGGGCCTATGGGTGTCTGTACTCACTCTGGATGGCTGGTGCTCCGGACCCCCATGCAGGTGGAGGAGGCCCCCTCCGAGAGGTGCACAGCCTCTGGGTACTTGTCCTGTGGGGAGAAGTGGCAGTTACAGAGAAGCCAGGGCACAGACCCTAGTGGGACACCACTCACATTCCCTAAATGTCTCACAATCCCAGACCTGCTGTTTGCTGGTCCCACACAGCACAGTGGCACCACCGTTGTCCCTGCTCCTGCCTCCTGTGCTCACCGGCACTGCCCCTTTTAGACTCTTCAGCTGCTGCAAGGCCTCCAGGCCTCCCATTCTACTGTCCCGATGGGTCCGTGGGCCCCAGCACCTGCCCCATCCCCTCCTCAGCCCCCTCCCCCCATCCTGTCTCCTTGGCTACCCTTTCGAGAACAGACGTGGGGCTGGGTGGCACAGGCTGCATGCACGAGCTCCACGGGACCTGTGTCTGGGGTCACTCTGAAAGCTGTTTCCTTCCCCTCCCCTCCCAGACCCCAGGGCTGACACTGAGGTCAGATGCAAGCTTGCTGCACCTCAGCCCAAAGCCAGCTGGCACGGTTTCTGAGCCCTGAGGACGGTGAGAGGACCCCGAAGACCAGGGCCAGGGGTGGCCCCGGGGAACCAAACCAGCTGTGTCAGATGAGGGCTTGTCACAGATTCTGAAGGGTCAGCCCACAGACTGGTGAGCTTGTGGCCAGCCTGAGGCCAGTGCTCCCAGACCAGTGTCAGAGACGCCCACAGAGCAAGAGCATGGCCAGACACCACGCTATTCTGACCCAGTGCAGGGCTGGGCATGGGTTATTTAAGCTTACAGGCGATTTTCTAACTTCAAGGAAACAGTTTTTATGAGAAAATGTATACCTATGTGTTTTAAATGGAATGTGCTGGCTGATTTTTAAACCTCAAGCTCCTCTAAATTAATAACAACTGTGTGAGGAATGTAAAGGACATGTGGACGTGGCAGTGTGACTCAGGCTGGGCTGCAGCACACGAGGCCTGGGCTGGCTCCAGCGTGAGGCCTGCGGGTGGCAGAAACCGCTGCCGGCTGGGCCTCCAGGCAGCCATATGGGCCTCATGGGCAAAAGTAGGGTTTAGATTAGAAGCTTTCACTAAGAAATGGTGTATTCCCTTTGGTTTTTGAAGTAAACAAAAGTAGAAATGCTGACTTTGGAAGTAGCACAGGCCTCCCAGGGGTGGTGTGGGAAGTGCTTTTTCTATGTTAGGAATTGCCTGTGTGTCCAGCTCCCTTCATCACCTGGATGCTGATCAGAAACAGGGTGGGGTGTGGATGGGAGGCACCCAGGTGCCCTGAGGGGGTAGATAGGGATGCGATGAGGCACACAGTGGGGCTGGAGCCACTAGCAGATCAGCATGCTGCCTACACCACTGCATGTGATGTCTGGAAAGATGACCTACGCAGGGTTGGGCTCGATGTACCCCCGGCCTGTGTGGTCTGGAATACCTTCCATGAGAAGCAGCTGCACACAAAGGCAGGCTGACTGGGGAAGCATCAGCCTGGCATGGAAAGTGCTGTGGTTAGCTACATCACCATCTGCCACCAGGCCCCACTGGCACGTAAGGGGCAGATGGAAGTTTGTCCTAAGTGGTGGTTCAAAATGGGGATTTATGCAGCTGCTCACCATCTGCCTGGTGTTCTGTTGCAAATGGCTGATTTCCTGAGATGGGAACATGGGGGAAGGCCAGAGCGGGCCAGGCCGGAGCCCAGGAGGAGGGGTCAGGAACCCCACCTGGTCTTTAGTGGTGTTTCGCTTTGGGAAGCAGCCCTAGGGAACTGCACGGGGTAACACGGGCCCGGCTGAGTGCCAAGCAGCCTCGGAATATATGTGGTGCTGTAGCCTGCTCTCTCAGTAAGACTGTCCCTGCCCCACAACTGAATGCGTCCTTCTTTTTTACTCTACTTTCCCTGAATGCCTTCTTGTCCCCAACACTCCTTGGGCCAGGTTCAAGGGTCATCTCCCTGCTTCCATGGGGGCTGCAGAATGCATCTCAAACCCATAAGGAAGAAATTCCCAACTGAAATGCCTGATTCCCATAACCATATTTCTACTTCCTTAGTTTTTGCATTTTTTCATATTTCATCTCAATTATTATGCTACAAAAGTTCCTCAGAAAACCCCTCAGTTATTTAATGTACAACTGTGTATTTAAATTATTCACATGCCTCTAGGAGCACCCTCCACCCTGGAGATACAGCATGTCTCCTGCCAAGCAGCCCAGCCTCCCCATCCCTCATCAGGGCTCACGCTGAGCCGGGTGCCTTCCTCCAGCTAGACCTCCATAGCAAGCAGCACATTTAGGAAATGCGTTGCTGTTGGGAGACACAGCCACATGCCAGGTCCTGGAACAGGGGTGGGGTGGGGTGGCACCCTGGGCAGAGCACTGTGGCCTTCTAGGCTGGGTGTGCCTTCCCACCTCGGAGTGGAGACAAGCAGCATCAGCTTGTATGCTGCCAGGAACGCGTCCTGCAAGCCACAGCACCCTTAGAAATAAACGCCATTAACCTCTAGACAGACATATCATTTCAGGTGGGAAAGTCAGTTCTAGCAGCTGTTCTGTTTCCAAGGTGACCTAAGATCATCAGGTAACAAACATGTACTTCAAAAGTGGTTCTGTTCCTTCCTAGTCTAATAATTAAAAGGTGACCAGGCTGGTTTCTTTTAAAATAGCCAGAAATACTAATTAAGAAGGTAGACACACACATACACGTAGTGATCAATGCTGGAAACCCGTTAGAGGTAATTTCACAACTTCCTCCTCATACAGTTGTTAACATGCAGCTGTGCATGCAGGTGATGACAGTGGTTTCCAGATATTCACTGGCAGTTTTATCAGTACTAAGGTGTAAACTCATTATTTCATAAATCTCCAAGTGATGTCTAACACATTAAATCTGATGGTAGTTTAAAGTCTGTAAGTCCGGGGAGAGGAAATCCCGGGGCAAAATACTTCTAAAAACCGAAATCAGTCAAAGGGAGAAATAAAGTTTAAAACCCATTTATTGCTTACAAACTGCAGTCCCGGGCTGTCTCTCTGCTCCTGAAGAAGCCAGCAAGCCAGCAAGCAAGCAAGCCCCTCCCCTTAAGCTCTCAGGTTCAGACACGCCCTCGGTTGCCTAGGTAATTACCAACAGACATGGAGATGAACTTCTCTCCACCCCTGAGGACATGCACTAAAGCCAGGCGAGATATTCTGGAAATGTTACAATTTTACCCAAACGGTCTCTTATAGTTTTTTCATGGAATCATAGGCTTTTTTAGTTTATAAGATCTTAAGTTTCCTAAAAAACAAAAATAATCACACACACACTGCCACACCCAATTTATCTACCCCTTCGCCTTTGCAAGCCCTGTGCCCTGACACGAGTCGCACAACAGTATTGGTACGAGGAAACAGGCTCAAAAAACTGAGATAGTTGCTCAAGATTACACAACCAGTAAGCTGATTCAAACCTAAGAGAATCAGATTCCAGCTCGTAAACTTCTGCCATATGCCCTTCCAAAGTTCAGATACCTGCTCTCATGACCACCGTGGGACACGATTCCTGCTGGCAACTGGCTTGATGGAATCAACAGAAACATTTTTGTTGGGGAACACAATTGCCACAAAAGTTTGTTCACATATTCCACATGACACACCAGACAGGAATAATGCAGCTGTACAGGCTCCCGATTTGGGTATGGGAAGTGGCTAGGCCTGCTTCTTATTAAAGGTCCCAGTTTCTCCTGGAGGAGGCAGGCTAAGCCAGGCCTTTCTCAGGTAGACCTCCTGCCAGGACAGGATAGACAGGCTCCCCCTCCTGCCTGCGGCCTCCTGTGGGCAGCCCCAAGCTGGGCATCCTCAAGTGCCATGCAGTCTCTGCATCCCTGTCCTCCACACACTCGCCATCCACAACATCATCTTTAAGACCCTCTCTAATGGTGGGCATTTCTGAAGGTGTTGGCAGGGTTTTAACCTGAAGCCTGATCAAGGCTGTGTGTTCCTGTACTCCGTTTTTGAGGCCTTTCATGTTTAACAATATTTAAACATTTCCCTCTTACATGACGAATAGTTTGGGTATAGAACTCAAAGTTTAAATAATACTTAAATTATATTTTATATATATAGTCCAAAGATGTACTCTAGAGTCCTTCCTGTGTCAAACACTTTCAGTGTTTAAAATGGGGAAGAGAATAAATGAGCCATGAGGAGTCCTCTATAAGGAGCAGGCCAGATAACCAGCACAGGAAGTATCTTCTGTAAATGAAATGAGAATGGTTGAAATTCTGCATTATTATCAAGAAATGACAGCTAAAGAAAAATACAATAAAATGAATTTTGGGCAAGAGGAAGACAAGCCTTGGTGGGTAGCCCAAAGGACACAGTAACCAAGTGCTTCAGGACAGTCCCCGTTCGCCTGCCACTACATGTTGAGTCAGAGCACCTCTGAGGCAAGGGTAGAGATTATGCCCACTTAAAAAATAAGAGGTGAGGCTCAGAGACATGCAAGGCTACTGCAACAACCAGAGCCCAAAGCAAAGACAAGCCAAGCTGGACTTCTGATCTGGGCAAATTTCGGGAGCCCTGTGGCCAGTTCAGAACTGATTGGAGCTGATATGCCCAAGACCAGCAGTGTATGTGTGCCAGGCCCCTCCACATAGGCAACTTCCAAGCCCTCCACCAAATTTTTGCAAAAGTAAACTTTAAGAATAGCTTTAGATTGACAGAAAACTGCAAAGGCAATGTGCGTTCCCATGTTAAAACCTAAGGCCACCACTTCTGTAAGTTGAGTCCACACTTTACTCAGCTCCCCTAGTTCTTGCTTATTGTCCTTTCCCCGTTTCAGGATCCCTGTGGCATCTGCGATGACTTACCTGGATGTCTTTT